TCCAACAGTCACATCACTCGAGAGGATGGATGTTATATTCTAATGTCTTCATTTATCTTTAAACGTTCTACAATATCAATGGAATGACTTGCCGTTGAACCAGACTCCTATGATTAAAAGAGAGGTATTTCACCCCAACACAAAGCTATGAGAAGAACTCTACTTGACACGTCAGCATTGTCATATAGTTGCACACACCCTTGTTTTCGAATGATCATTAAATAGGTTAATTGCATGGCTTGTTAACAATGGCACATTCTTAGGTATTCCATACAGAGGTAAACCACAAAATGTACACTTGTTCAGCCTCTCCTTCAACCTGATATCTACACAAACAAAGGCGCAGATCTGATTATATTAGCAGCAAGGTATCGGCGTACAGTATATGTGCATAGAGACAAAGGTCAATTGAACTGAAGTTTTAGGACACAGGACTGGTCTGAGCTGGGTGTGTCTTGGAATCTTGAATGAAACAATATTCCAAGGGTGGAAAGAAAAACTAAAATAAAATTAAAATGAAGGGAAAAGGAGACACAGAAGAAAAGAGAAAGAGGAAGGAAAGGGGTAAGGGAAGAGAAAATAAAAGCAGGGAAGGGAGAGGAGTAAAATATTGATAAAATCATTGGGAGGAAAGAGTTGTATATACAGTTTTATATTTTTTCTGGTTTGGTTGTATGTGGAGAGAAAATGACTAAGAGTTTGCAGTGTGGGATATTTGGGGGAGCCCATACTGTATGTTGTATATTCTGTTTTTAATTCAGGTTGATAAAATCACTTTTCTTTCATTAACTGAGGGTGGGAGGGGGAGGGACGAGGGATTGATTGATGGAGCGATTTTTGTTGATGTACATTGATGTGATTGCTTGATGTACCGATCAATCGGAGAAGAATAAAGAAAATGAAAAAAAACAAAAGAAATAGTGCAAGAGCGATGCAGGTCACGGACTGCCTGGCCTCTCACCATGAGGAACTGCAGACTGCTGTCATAATTACTGTAGGCCAATAACTGTATTAGTACTCATTAACCGTATTCGTATTTGTAACTTGCATTTGTATTAATTAACTGTATTTGTATTAGTAAATGTATTTGTACAGTATGTGTAACTTGTATTTGTAGTTGTACTCAATCACTGTACATGTAGTCGTAGTTGTATTTGGACAACAGTGTATCAACAGTACAGGGAAATGGAACTGAAACTAAAACAATCAGCAGGATCTGTCAGCGTGATTATGCCCGTCTTGCCGGGACGATCCTCATGGGCTCCTCGTCGTTCCCCGGAGAGAAGAAGGGACGCACTTCCCCGGAGAACTTCTCCTGGAAGGTGTAAATGTGGGCTGCGGTCTCGGCGTTGAAGAAGGAGACCTCCATCTTCTCGTAGTCCAGGTAGACCCCCAGTGTCCTGGGGATGGGGATGTTCTTCAGGGGGGTCTCGGAGCCGGTGAGGGCCTGGAGCTTCTTCCCGTCCCACAGGCTGAGGACCCAGAATCCCTCCTCGGGGCTCGGAGCCAGCTGCCCGAGCCGGCGCACGGACGCCCAGGCCACCCCGACCTCCCAGCACCTCTTGTCCCCCACCTCCACTTCCCAGTAGCGGCCCCTCCTCACGTCGCTCATCGCCCCCAGGACGCCGGGGTATTCGTCGAAGCACTCC